ACCCAAACCATAAACGAGAATGAAATATTTGTATACATGAGAAATCGGGTCAAAGCACGAGTTGAAGTTGTTGAAACCTATCATTTAATTTGAAGTATTGGACATCATTTATATTTGTTTAATAGTCTTTATGTACCGAAGTTATCCCGTAATTTAATATATTTATCTAAACTTGATTTAGAAGGATATTCTTTTAAATTCGGGAATGGATGTTTCAATTTATTTAAACATAATTATTTAATTGGTTTTGATGTGCTTTGTGATGGATTGTATAAATTACATCTTGATAGTTTATTTACTGAGACATTATTGACCCTACATCATAATATAGAAACAAAATGTGCTTCTGTGGACGAGAAATTTGCTTATTTATGGCATAAATGTTGGGATTCATACATTTTGGACATGGAAAAGGTATAAAAATGATGGCAAGATGATGGATGCAAGGTAGAATACAAACATAACACATAAGCCCAAAAAAACTCAAGATAAGGATGAAATATTACTTACTTCTTTGCTATTCAACACTTGAATCTTCTTTCTTGGAGTCTTAGTTCTTCAAGTGAACTTGAAGAACCTCAATATATGATCCACACAAGTCAAAGATGGGAGAGAGCCGAGAGAGTGAGGAAGAAAGTGAGAGAGTGCTTTTGTTTCAATTCTTTCAATTCTATGAAAATTGTATAACACTTGGTTTATATATCATGAGCACAAAGTGTAATTTTAATTATCTTGGGAAGTCATAAACAATTTAAAATTAATCTTGAAAAAGAGCATTTATGTCAAGTCTTTGGTTTTATGGTTAATTCATAATTAACCCAAATTTTAATCCTATTAAATATTCTAACTCTTAAGAATAAAACCAATGCACTTTTGTCCCCATTATTGAATCTGATTCAATAATAATATTTAATAAATCTTTATTACCCTTGGTTAGTGCTACCTATCTATGGATAATCATTTCTCACCAATACATTAATTCGGATGCAACTATTTACGTTGGAACATCATTAATCTGATTAATGATATGTATTACTCTCTCTCCTTGAGCTTGGTTTTATGTGTGACCATTTTGGTTCACTGTGATCTAGCCGTGGGCCCAATATCAGATTTTGATATGTTTCGTTATAACTCTTTATAATCGAAACTCCCACTGATTATGGTAAAAGTCTAGCAATGTTCCATAACCCTTAAACCACAATGAAGTGTAAAATCCAATGAACCTTTTCTGATCGTATGTACCATGTAGTAAAATCTCTCCGTCATCTAATCCCGATTAAAAATGGTTCATGGTATGTCAAAACCCTTAACTTAATCTTTAATCGAATTATTAATCAATACAATGAAACTCATCAACATGAAACTACTTTTCATCTGACATTCATTATACTCTAGCCAGAGATTTCCCTTTTCCAATGTTTATTGACATTCGTCTGGGAACTCGAGATTAGACTATTTGGAGTTAATGGATCCCATCTTGACATCACTTGTCCTCGCACATGAATAACATATGACCAAACTTACTTATTACACAAGACATGACTAGTCTCGTGCTTATACATCATATGAACCATATGCATCATATGTTGATTCCAACCGTGATGTCTCAAGTCTAAGGATCAGTGGTACACTAGTACGATCCTACGATGCATCATTGACCACATCCATGTGATTCATCTTAATTGGTCGTATTCGATAAACAGTTCACTAACTGTTTATCCATGCTAATGCCTTAGTGACATACCTCTTATAATCACCCATACTAATACCATCACATAATATTTAATGGAGACATTCAACATGCTTACTATGCAATGTTATTGCCCAATTAACATTACTTGCATAGGGAATTCTTCGATGATTTGATCTTCTGAAGATTCTTGTCATCCGGATATTTCACATGCAATATTAAATATAATATAATATAAATGAAGCAGAAAATCGACATGTGAAATAAGAACACTTATTTTTATTCATAATACATTTACAAGATATAATGTCCTGAAATCGACAATACGATTGGTTCTTAGGGCATACACTAACAATAAACGTTTAGGCCATATATCAAAAGAAAGAATGCAAAGATTAGTAAAAAATGAAGTTTTACCTAATTTGGATTTTAATGATCTTGGCAATTGTGTGGATTGTATTAAGGGAAAACAAACTACATGCAAAGTTAAAAAAGCAGGCACTCGAAGCACATGACTTCTTGAACTAATACACACGTATATATGTGATCCTTTTGACGTACCTTCTTTTAGTGGAGAAAGATATTTCATCACTTTTATAGATGACTTTTCACGTTATGGATAAGTGCTCTACGACTCCAGTTCCAATTCAGAAAGGTGATAAGCTGAGCCATGAGTAATGCCCACAGATTGAATTGGCACGTAAGCAAATGGAGTATATTCCTTATACGCAAAAGGGAAGTGCCGGTGACAATGAAGAAGAGGAGGAGAGATGAAGAAGAAGAAGGTCTGAGGGCAATTTTGTCTTCTCTATCAAATGTCATATGTCACTAACGATGTCCAATTAAGGGTGGTAATCTAGAATTATGAAACCAAGGATACCAATCTTGGATTTCGCTAAATTTTGGGTGGGAATATGTCGTTTACCCTATAACGTTGATTAAACAAAGCATCAAGCGGCCGACCTTAATGACTTCCACCACCTATTTGTTGGTTTCTTATTGTTGTTGTTTGTGTGAAATACTCCTCATATATAATTTTATTTTTTGGATTTTGGATAATTAAAAGAGGGTTTTGAGCTTTTTAAGAACTAGGAAAATTAAAATCTAAAGGAAGATTTGGGTCTCGGAATTGCAAATTGAATAATTAAGAGGGGTTTGAGTTTTATAAGATTTATTCAACAAATGCACAAAATAAAAATAAAAATAATAAAAACTCTTAATTCTTCAATGTTTACCATACAAGAATTTAGATTATTATAACACGAAGTGCTGATATATATTCGTGATCATTAATTTAATATAACCTGATAGACTTTGGTGAGAACTTCGTTAAAAATTTTTGTTCATGAACTTAGATTCGCTAGATTAGTTAGTTGTTCATGTGGACCTCGGTCAAAGAATCAAAGTTTTCCAACTAGAATAATTGAAAAATAAGACAATTAAAAATTGTCTTACTATTTACCGGTAATTGTACCCACCCAAAAGGACTTGTATATCACCATCAACCTAAGATTTAAGTTACCCATGTTTAATGAGAGCTCCATATTTTTTTTTTAAATGTTGATATAAGCTTTTGTTCGATTACTTCTTATATTATAAACACATTTTTTTGGAGTGACTTGACTAACTTATTACTAGGGATAATTTTTTTTTTTTTTTTTTATGATTAGAGGTGTCCGGACCAGTTTACGTATACCTCAACTAATCCCCTTAAACCCTAAAACTATCGATAAAGTAAAAGTTCCAATTACTACCCCTATTAACAATTAAAGAAGGAGTTAAATTTATGATCTCTTGAATAATACATCTAAGAGTTTCTATCGAACCACTAAACCACCCAGATTTAGCTTATTAGAGATAATTTTCATTAAGCTTGGAGTTTAGCTTTAGCCAACAACTCCTAACTCGACATTTCTTTTTCAAAACTCTTTTATTATTGTTATTGTTTCTTTTTAATTCAAAATTTTAATCTAATTCCAAATTAGTAGTTAAATTATGTTAAGGTATTTACAATGTATTTTCTTAATTTTTTTTAGTGGTAGTCGTTTGCAGGAGAGAATTGACTCGTGATTAGGTGTTTTTTTTTTCCTGCTTTTAATTCATTTAATAAGATCCTAGAGTGCATCAAAGTTGACCGAAAAATTGAACAATAGGTCAAATCATATGCAATAACACCACAGAGAAGGATTCATCGAGCTTCATAAATTAAAGGGCAATGGTTATATCCTCCTCTTTACAAGTTTTATTTAAATTTGGAAGTATTAGGAATTAGAATAATGTAAAAGACAAAAGCTAAACAGAGGGGGTCAACCGTTCATGTTTGATCATCTCCTTCATGCGAATTCAATTCTTTACTTTCATATACCTCATATTATTATTATTATTATTATTTATTAAGCGCTGCAAAATAAGGACCATTAATGTCAATGAATTGTAAGTTACAAATAAAGTGGATAAGAAGAATAAAAGAGTCACTATAGAATTGAGTGATCAGATTCGACAAATTCACTATACTAATTGAATAGATATTAATGTCTTTTTCGATTATCCAAATGAGCGAAAAATCGTTTATACTTTAACTAAAGGAGAAATCATTGTTGCAATTAGACAAGAAGAGAAAAGAAATAATTCTAAGGATAATAATGCGGAAATACAAAAAGTCTTGTGTCATGAAGCTCTAAACATGCTTGAGAAACTAAAAATATTTTAGCTTCAACAAGAAGGTATCCATGCTAACGAGCTATTATGTACTCGTAAAGTAAAAGATGTGATAACAATTCTAAAACATAAATCATTGTCCCAAACAATTTTAAATAAATATTTTATTTTATTTTAAACCTTTAGTTTTATATAATATATATTTTTTTGTAATATACAGATAATTATTACTATGTAGAGACAACTTTCCTTAAGACGAGAATTAGTAAAATTATAACTTATTATAAGATAGAGTTTATTCTTGTTTATAACTATCCCAAATTAGGACTATAATTTTTTATGATTATGTAGAGTTTATTCCTATATAGAGTATCACTATAGAGAAGTTTTACTGTATCATTTTTTAAAAATAAATATGTAATGCAAAACTTGGGATACAATCGATAGCAGTACTCGTAATCCTACAACCCTGCTAACATGCTTCAAGTTCAGAAGGCCTAGCAGTCCAGTTTTAAGGCATATTCTACCTGTTAATTCTCCGGTATATGCATTTTCCTATGGCAACGATGATATGAAACAATGAGAAAAATGCAGTATAATTCACTCACTCGCTATCTTTTTCTTCCTATAAATTCAAGTCCAGGCAAACCTCTAAAATCAAATGGTCGAAGAAGGCATGATGAGAAGATTTACAACAGATGTACTTACATAAAGCAGTCATTATCTTGAATAACGATCTACAAGTGCTTTTGCTCTCTCTGGTGCGAAAAACCGAGCCTGCAAATAACACCAGCAACTTCTGTTTATTATCTTCTTTCATACACATACAATGAGATAATAAACTTATGAAATGTACGCGCACTAAAATCAATGGAGGCACTGAAATTCAAGGGTGACGGGAAAGTACATCTAAAAGTACAAATAGGAGTGGTAGCAACAGAAAGACTCAAATAAAAAAACATCAAACCAGCCTCAGATTTTCTATCTCCCAACTTGGATAACAATCAAAATAACAAATACAATAATGTAATGGCAGAATGTTTGAAGGTTAGTCAAGAGATAAAAGAACATGGACCGGAGAAATTTGGGATTAATTTTGGAAACCTTGCATAAAAGGCTTATTTTATTATTATGGACTCAAAAAGTTTTGTTTTTATATAATCTGATCCACTTAAGCAAAAACGAATTCATATATTTTTGTTAATGCGAAATCAGCAGCAATATACTCACTTGGATAAACATCCTCTCTGCATCTCCAGCACTTCCGTTCTCCTTCAAAATAATTCCCTGCAGAAGCAATAACAAAATTATAATATATAGATGTCAACAGAATAGTTATTGGTCAGCAGGATAAAATTCAGAGGTCGACTGACACTTTGTCTACCCTTCCTGCTTAATAGATCTAAGCTACTCAAATGTATCATAGTAGAATAGTATCATCATAATAATGTCAGTTGTAGATCGTATGTCAATTTGTTCTCTTTCAATTATAATGTATCTGTGTGGCTAAATCTGATTTCTGAGGATAATATATTCATGTGCCTGCCACATCAGTCTACTGTTGCTAGATAACATGCAGTATTTGACGTAGCAAGGGAAAAACGAATTTGCGGCTAATTATATTGAAACTATTGAGTTTCACTAGTCTAAGGTTAATAGAGGTTGAATATTATTGTTGATCCATTTCTGATTTATTAGAGTGTATTGGATCCATGTGATGAGTCCATTTATTAAATTTGACTGTAAACATGAGCAGTGTTTTAGAGTTTTCATACAATTGTGAATTCTTTCAATCAGTTTAAACTTTTGTAATTAGCAGTAATTCAGAAAAGGTCTACATTTACTAAGCTATAGGACATCTGATATATTCAAGATTTACATGATTTTGAAGATTGGGTCATCATTATTAAAACTAAAAAGGACCTTTAAAATGAGAGTATTTGACAATTTAGTTGACTAGCTAGGTTCTATATGGTCTTTTAGTTAATTTAGATTTGACATCATCATGTCGCTGTTATAGTGTAAATATTTAAAAGATGAAATCCTTGAAAATTTTCAATGACAAGATAATCTAAATTCGTAAACAGTAGAAAAAAGAAAGAACCTTTGCTAAGTAACCGCGAAAGTCATTTGGATAGCTAGAAATGAGCCCATCATAAACAGCTACAGCATCACTAACACGACCCCCATCTGAATAGGCTTTCCCAAGAAGGAGTTCAACCTGTAAAGACATATCATAAAATTCTCAAGAGAATTAGAATGCATGTAGAAACAAGAGCCTAAAACCAAAAGATAACATCTCATATTCAATATAACAAATTAAATAAGAGGGAAAAAGAGTCAGATAATTAGGTAAAATTTATTGAATTTCTGCGATCCCCATACTTCAAACTTTTAAAAAATATGATAAATATATCTTTTCTTTATCATGGAACTGAACAGTTAAGAAGTATTAAGTTTTGTACCACCTTTTTCATGAATTTTACTCTCTGATTTATGATTAGTGTTTCAGTTATTATCTTCTCTTTCCTCTTGAAAAACTCGCAAGCACTAGAAGCAAATTCTCTGGCATTCACGTCTTTAGTTTTGTCCTTTCAATTTCAAAAGCAATTGGTATCAGGCTTTATTGAGTTATGGAGTCTGTACTCTGCCTGTAAAGAAACGTCAAACAAATAGTCCTAAAAAATGTATAGCTAATCATGAAGGGGAAGGTTCAAGAGCACCATATTTTTGACACAATTTTTAGGTCATTAAAACTTAACACTTTTGATGGTTGAGATTCAATGCAACTTGCACATTTAATGTACTTTAAAAATGACAACTTAGATATAATCTCAGTCATTAAAATGTTTTAATCTAACGACTTAAAATTGTGTCAACACTTGGGTTAGGATCAGGAGTAAACAAGTTTTGACACAATTTCTTTGAAAAAATTTCTAAGTCATTAGATTAATGAATTTGAATAATTGAGATTGCATCTAAATATGGTATTTTCAAATTGCATTAATTATGCAAATCGTACTGAAATCTCAACCGTCCAAAGTGCTTTAATTGTCTCATATTTTGTGTCAAAAATGTACTATTTTATATAATGTCATATTATATATATAGGGACAGGATGAACAACTCCTTAACTTTACACTATTTCTTACATCAATTTCTAACCTTTAGATGAAACAATAATCAATGACTACGATTAGATTAAATGCACTCCTCATTTAATAGATAAGTGTCTTGAAATAAAAACATTTACAGTTAATTATTTCTCTTATTTTTCTCTCTCCATTATATTTGTTATCTTCTCTTTCCTCTCCTCAGGAAGCAAATTATTTTCAATAAATGCAAACTTATAAAATATCCAAAAGTACACAAAATAAAACTATTTCAGTATCTTCCACCTGCACAATTTGCATTAGTGTAAATAACATTGCATAAGAACCAGATGGTCTATGCTAATATTTTGGTTTCTTAAATTCAGAATTATAAGCTATTCAGAAAAAGAAAAGGAAAGAGAGAGTATAACTATATAAGAATTCAGAGGACTCTCTCACTAGACGTAACTTTTCTAAAAAGAAAAAAAGAAAAAAGTCTTGATTTGATTTATAATCAAAGGGTTGATTTGGGACCTAAGTTTATGAACTATGTAGTAAAAAATCTAATTATATATTATTTAAGGATTAATATCTAAGCATATTCATTACGCAAAAAAAGAACAAAAAAACAAATTTTCATGAATATGTAGCTTACTTGATAAAATTTATGCATTAAATTATTTAAGAATTCACATATGGAGAAAATATAATGCCAAAACAAAAGTTTGGAATTAACTATTAATAAATTTGTATTTATTAGGTGAAGAAAGAGAAGGAAAAAAGGAGAGATAGGGGAGAGGAGAGAAAAAATAACCATAAATGTGTTGATTCCAAGACACTTATCATTTAAATAAGGAAGCATCTAATCAGTCCTAGCCTTTGACTGTTATTTAATCTAAAGGTAGAATTTGATGCGAAAAAATAGGGTAAAATTAAAGGGCTATTGATCCTGCTCACAACCACAAACTTGAAAGCACTGCTACATTACCCAAATCATTCACCGAATCTACAAACCCAAACTAACGAAAAATCTAACTAGACATGACCAGTGAAGAAAAATTTCCTCCAGGTTGACAATAATTGACAATTAGATATGTTATAAGAAAACAACTCACTTGAATGGGGTCAACTTTTTGCAGTTCCTCCTCATTGCCGTCAGCCTTAACATTAAGATCATTTGATTTTTCCGAACTCAGACGTTCGCGGTAGGCCAGAAGGAATTGAACAGCCTGCATAGAAAGAAAAAGATGAAAGTTTTATTTTAACAGAAAAAAAAGTGATAATTGAAAAATTCTGGCAACAATGTTCAAAGCGCAATTATTTGTAGGAAAAATTAGTTGCCTCAAAACCAACTTTTTTACTTTAAAATCTCTGCAAAGTAGGGTTCAATATGGCAACAACAGAATGCAATTAGACATTACAACTATTATCAAATTTCTTCAGGTTCTCAAATTTCTCAACCAATACCATTCTCCAGCCATTTAGGAACATCCAATCATCAGGAAATTCTATAACAAAATTATAGCCAGTTGAAAACCAAAATGGTTATGGTAAATAGCCATTGATAACCATCCCATTTCATTCCACTTTAACGAACAATTTTCTTTATTTGGTGAAACCTCAGCAGAACAAGGGAATTATTAAATGAAAAGATAAGGACTACACCAAGTCAGCCCTTAAAAATAAATATAAAAAAATGCTGCATAAGTTCAGAAAAGAAAATGCATGCATCCCCATGTAAACTTATTTTTTAACTACAGATTTAAGAAAATTCTGAGCTAGCTTCATTTTTAAGTTTAAATCAATACGTGCTCGATGCAAACTTGGAAACTTTTATTTAAAACTTTCTAGTAAAAAACAAATACAGAAACATGTAGATTAAAAGTGTGCCTAGATACAACTCTGAAAAAGAACAGAACAGAGAAATGATTGGACCTGCAAAACAACATTATGAACCAGTGCTGCATCTGCATTCTAACATAAATGGCATACCTCATCTGGTTTCTTAGCAGCAAGCAGTGAGTTTGTATAGCCCCGAAGAACCTCAAAATTGATGTCCTTTGAAACCTGTCAGCAAGTAACAAGAAATTCATGGGTAGTACAAGTGAAATTAAGATAGAAGCAGATTATGTAGATAATTTCCAACCAAATCATGATATAAAAGTGGTTTACGTGGTAACTTAACATTTAATTTCATAGTTTGCTACCAAATGTACTTTTACCCATTTCATCCCTATACTACTGAGAGAATAATAAGACTAAAGAATAAAATAAAGAATGATCCTCGGTGTTTTGATGTGTTTACCCATCACGTCATCCAATTTCTAAAGCGATACTTTGCCCTGCTATGGTAACTCCATTAAATTCAATCAACTTAGTCCATCAGAACTGATTGGATATGAAACACAAAATCTACATGTTTGTAACAGTACACTCTGAAACTGGGAAAACTGATGGTTTCAGTTTACATAAATAAAAACATAGACTATTTCTCAATTTTTAGTGCTCAATCATAAAGCATGAAAGGCACATGCTACTGCTACTTTTCATCCACTAGTTTAATGGAGAAAAAATGCAAGGGGGTAAAGAATCACTTCAATAATCACTGAGGGGAAATGCACAAATAAGTATGATCAGGTTATCTCTGAAACAGTCATTGAAGACACAAGGCCAGAAGAAATGAGAACATCACATAATATGTTAGCTGATTTACATTATGTAACGAAAATTCATCTAAATGACATCACTAATTCCACATTGTACAATAAAACAGTTCTAAAAGACAAACTAAACAAAATCCAAGATGCACACATGAACATCAAATATTAGCTCTCAGCGTATAAACTAAGTTGAAAATAAAAGCATATGTTAAATACAAATATATAAAGCTTATCCCTGAAACAGTCAGCTCATCCAAACTGTACTCAACAAATCTAGAGTGAGGAATTATCTAAAACAACGTCGTCTAGAGTGTGAAGTTCTCCATGTATTAGAGAAAAATTACCATTGTAGAAACCCTATATGCAGCAACACTCCCTTCATAATCCTTAAGTTCATATTTAACTTCCCCAAGCAAACGGAAAACATCAGGGTCGGTTGGTTTCTCCTGCAGAACATTAACCAATTTTAATAAAATAATATGCTAATTTTATTAACAGCAAGACTTTGAGGAGCACAAAGTACATAAAATTCATAATATATTCAGTACTGAAACAGACAAGTACAAACCTTCCCCAAGTCCTGGAGGAGTGAGGCAGCCCGAGTGTACTCTCCTAATTCTGCCAATGTCACTGCAGCTCCCTGCAAGATCTCTAGAATGAATTTCAAATGGCTGGCACAGGAAAACATATTGTAAAAAAACGAATGATCGCAGGACTCTGTATAAATAAATGCATGAGTAACAAGGAATCAGACCATAAAACACAAAATACAGAATTAGTCATTTTTGTATCTAATCTAAGCAAGTTTTAGTGGTAATTAGAACATTTTCAATTCAACAGAACACTTGAAGATAACTTATACTTGAAGGACCTTCAGCAAGTTGAGCTACTCATGGAACTGGCTTCCAATCATTGCTGTTGACTGAATTAAGAGTAAACAGAAGAACAAAATGGAACCACTACTCCATAGGTAAGAACCAATAACCCGAACATCAAACTCCAAGTATCTGTACGAGAAGGTCTTTTATATTAAAAAATACTTGATAAATTTTTGTAACTTTCAATGATTCAAGACATGTACAGAAAAATACTACATTGAAGATTCTTGTCATAACATGATTTCTCTAGAATCAGATACCAATTAACATATCTGGAAAACCGCTGAGCTTCTTATAATCAGATTCCCAATCCTTATCCAAAGTTAAAATTATATAAATAAAAAATGTACAAAAAATTATCATGTATAACACCCCATTACTCACTTCAAGGGCAGTTGGATCTTTTGGAGAGACACTGAGTATTGCTTCATATTGTTTCAGCCTAGTCTGCCATAAGATTAAAATGTGAAGATGCTGTAATCCTCCATTGATTAGAAAAACGGAAAACATAATAACTGATCATAGCCAAAAAATTTAAGATGCATAATATAAGTAACCAAAAGAAAGAATAACTCATCACAGAGCAAATGTGCCACCATAAAACTAAAGGATATATCCATATTACCATATTTTTCATTGAATATAGACAAAAATAACCAAAAATAAAATTTGTATTTCTTTAATTGACATTGAATCAGGGATTTCATGCAAATCAATGAAGAGAAATCTCCTCCTTCAACTGTCTAACTTGAATGCCAACCCCCACCTCCAACTTATTTTATAAAAAAAGGTGCAGTTGTACATTTTATTGCATAAACAGACTATTTTAAGAATGGGAAAAGAAAACCTTGCTTTCAAAGAGATATCCTGTTTATGATAAATTAAAATTAACTAAATCGGGTAATCTTCCTTGCCTCGTGTAGAAGGGAAAAAGCAAAAGCTAAAAACAAACAAGAAACTAATCAGGTACTCTTCCTTGCCTCGTGTAGAAGGGAAAAAGCAAAAGCTAAAAACAACCAGGAAACTTTGCAAATTGCATCCCCCCCGGCAAAGACATGGATAAAGTGACGCACAAGCTATAAAATCAGAACACTGTAAGAAAATTGTAGTAACTGCTCCATTGCCTTTGGAAAACATAGATCTATAGTCAGCATCATAGCAATTAATCAAACCTAAAAGCGTTTATGATTTATAAACCACCAACAACCTGTATAAGAAATTCATCAGTGGGACACTAACGAACAAAAATTACCCTAAAAACTGCAGAAAAGACCACATGTCTGGGTTTCAGAGGAAGATTGGAACATTTAGTACCAATAAAACATTTACTCTTCCTTACAAAAAGAAATTTACTCAATGTTGGCTTGACACAAGCAAGAAAGAGAGAAAGCTAAGCTAAAACAGAATGGAAATGATTATCATTGTTATTATGCCTTGGAATAGTTGATGGAAAATTAAGGTCAATACAAATACCAAGGAAAAGAAAAAGGCGATGCTCTTTCAATGAATATTACCTGAAGAGTAGTCTTCTCTTCTTCAGACAGTTTCTTGTCAACAACCCTAGCTTCCTCGGTTTCACTAACACTGAAGATAGAAGACAATGTCAAGATCAATCTGTTCCTCTTGGCATGCAAACACTTAAACCATCATGATAAGACATGAAAAATTAAATTATCCTATAACTTCAATACCCAACAAAAAATGATTTCTTGAAAAGCATAAGTCTAGGTTTCATAATTCCAAATATGGTAACCTATATGATGTGACATAGTTATCGAAAATGAAATTACTCCTCTCTTATGTAACAAAGTTAAATGTAAGGCCTCTTTATGGGCTTCTATCTCTTAAAAATTTATAGATATTCTTCTTTTTCTTCATTCATTTTAGTTGGGAAGCGCCAAGCTCCTAACCTTAGAGTGTCCATTTCTTTGGGAGACTGAGGTTGGGGACGCTTTTGTAATTAGCTTTTAAACATTTTAACCTTTAGTTAGGCCTTATATGCCTTAGATTCTTAGATAGGTTACAGGTTTCCTCTCTTATCTTTGTGGACAGCTAAGTTCACTTACATGTAAACCTTTTAATCTCTTTTGTTAATCATATATTTTGTTCCTGAAAAAATAAAAAATAAAAAAATTATACCGAATACCCTATGCTGGAACAAGTCAAGTATAGAACAGTATATGTTTTTAACAGATCAACAAACAGGTTAGTTAAAGATTTTCTAAGGTCTCTATACAGGATCATGAACTTTAAACTTTATTCAGGATCCATGCCACTAAACTCATACTTGCAGCCCCTCAAAGACCTTTAATGTAATTTGCCTGTCAACTAAATTAGTTAATAAATGGTTTGACTTGTATAACTGTTCTTTGTCTTACTCATGATTGCAAAATTTGTGATCAATGTGTTGCAAATACGAAATATGTTCCAAAAGCTACAGGTGAATATCAGTTCAAGTAAAATCAGTGTCTAAATTTGAAGTCAAACATAAGCATTTTGAAGGCTCAAAAGAGGAAAGCAACAAATATGCCTACAGAGGACCTGATTAACTCACGCATTGACTGAATTTGCTCCAAATTAAAACCTTGAATATATATCCTATCAAAATGAAGTGGAAAACAGAAAATTCCAGTATATGATAGCAGATACTAGTGATTTTGGATTCTAAAGTTGAATTGGTAGATAATAAATAACATTTCATGAAAACATGTTTAAAAATTTTGAGATGATTTTGGGTGCCACAAGCCAAACACATTACACAATGAGATATCATATTCAGTCAGGGTCCTCCGGCATTTGTTGGCAAATTCTACTATGATGTTGGTTTTTAAATCAAGCAGTGTTGGATAGAAATGATCCAAAAACATAAGATTGAAAGTAAAGCTGATAAACAAATCTCATAAATAAGGACTTGAGGGAGAAAACTCTATTTTACTATACCACACCTTCCCGTGGGAAGAAAGTCTCCAAGAGCAAAAACCAAACCAAAGATCAGGACAACTACTCCTACTCCAATCTATTACATGTCAAAATGCAAAGTAGTGGTGTCAATAAAGCTAATAATATATTTGCATGTGTGTGTGTGTGTTATAAGCATTCAGCTGGTACATGATTTATGCTATTTTTTTTTTATTAGTTAACCATACCACAAAGTACAACATATTTACCTTGATACCAAGTCCAATTGTTTTCTTATCTGACTCAATTGGTGCATCATAGTCAATTGCTCCAAATTCTCTTTCTTTCTCTTCCTTTTTCTGCTCAACTGCTGACGTGAGCAGTGCACAGAACGAAAATAGCTCATTGAAAAAGGATTCAAATATGATGTATAAACAAGCAAAATCCATCCAATCAGAGTTACCAAATATTATTGCACTGATTAAAGTACAAAGAATAAACCACAAGAATATGATGTAAATAAACTTTTTGTGGGAAGGAAACTATACAGATATACAGTTTCCAAACTGAACATGATAAACCAACCAAAAAGTAAAACTATGGTAAACAACTATGTCAAACGAATAAACATTAGAGATGGCTAAGATAGATTTCCTAGATGCAATGTCATTAATACTGGAGATGGTAAGAGCATAAAAAATGTTCACTATTGGCATGATAAGTAGCATGGCGATAGTGTATTAAAAGCTTTATTTCCAGGATTATTCCTTAATGCTGAAAAAAGGTGTAGTATGGTGAAGGATCACATGCACAGGTGCATCGCAAGTTTTACAGGGGTTCCTAAGTTAATAAGAGCTGTACAGGATCATACGAATTGGATCTTATAATATTTCAGAAACTTAGACTTTTTATGAAAAACATGAAATATTAGAGTTTCCGCTTTCCTAAATTCTCTAGTCTCCTTCAATATCTTAAAGTTTTTGTTTCTGTCCACCATTTTGAAGCCAATTCTAACAAGCATGCAAATGCAAAATGCAACAAAGTATCACCTTTTAATTGCTGCCAGCCGTTCCTCAAAGTCAACGTCCAAAGATTTGATGTTAGATTTTACAGCAAACTGAAAACTTAAAACAGGCGCCTCTACAAGGAAAATTTCATGTTAAGTTAACACAACAGAATCAACAGAGGAAATAGAAAATTTCCCAAAATCAAATAAAAAAATTGCAAGTAAAATATCAGAATTGTGAAGTTAATACAAAAAACAGCATGACATTAGTCCTCTAATCAATCGAAGAAAACTTCAAGAAGTGTACAGATGGCATACTTACTACTTCCTTTTCTACGCACTCTAGATGATGCAAGTTGTTCGTGCAAAAATTTAAACAAGTAAAAAACTGTTAACAGAAGAGGTCAACTCTCCCAACAATCACAAAAGCAGATCGATTATGAGGAGGTTTCCCTTGAATTGGCCAGTAAGGGCACTCCAATGTTCAGGTCAAACAATGTATTAATCAAAATCAAAGTTTTATGGCAAGTGTTAGCAAAATGAAATATAAAGTAATTGTAAAAGGGTTTCATAAGGATCTCATCATACCTTCTTTGATGACATACTTGGGTATTTGTAAAGCTTTATTGGGGTAATGCAAGATACATTTCCTAAATTATTTAACCACTACCCCAGAGAAGATATATAAATACCTAGGTATGTCACTAAAAAATGTGTGATGAGATTCTAATGGAATCTTATATACTTTCTTATACATTTCATCTTCTAACTCTGGTTTTAAAGCTTCATTTTCCATCAATTTGCCATCTCACTTGATTGTCTTAGCACCCCTGTCATCAAGCAAACAGACACTCCTTATAACAGCTTTACTTTTGTGGTTGCAAGGAAAGCTGAGTTCTCTGTTGTTAGTGGTTTTTCCTAGTCAAATCTTTACACAAGCCTAACAATGCTAGAGTAATCCATCCCTTAAACATGCTTTTTCTCCACCAACCATGGACTTTCATTTTTGTCGTTTTTACTTAAAAAATACCTAATCTAAACAATAAAGATCCTATCTGAATTATTCCAAATCAACGAACAGACATGTGAAAATTATACAATCTATTATGTTTTTTGAGATTTGTGTAATGTAATTGTGTGAAAATGAAACAAAGGCATAATAGTTTTTCTACCATGCTATTGTGTAATTGTGTGAAAATCACAATGCTAGAGTAATCCATCCCTTACCAAATTACATATGGATACAATTGAAAATATAGCAATAAATCAAATAAATAAACCCACCCACCATTAATTTAAAAAAGAATAACTAAAAAAGAACTACTCACGTGTAGGTAGAGGACCAGACTGTTTTGTTACTGATTTCCTGCACCATATGACATACAAAATTGAATTATAAATGATTTTGCAATGACCAAATAAATTGTTATCCTAACTAGCAAATAACTGTAGATATCCTAAGATGCATAACTCTTCCACAGAAATACATTTTATAAGCACGATACAAAGTACAAGAGACTTCAAAGTGATTGACCAAAGGAGCTTCTGGTACAAAAGAGGGCACAAGTCCCTCTGCAATTTTAGAAATTCATGGGCATAATCAGGAGACAAGAACACATTAGCACATCAAAGCTTGCATGCACACACAGACAAACCCACCCATGAACTCCCGTGAGCACATATAAAGACTAAAAAAATTCCTCAATTAGTTGAACTTATATTTTGCTTTTGCTTCGTTATGTAACTACTTGATGCACATCCAGTGGTCTCCTATCTTATTTATGAAGATAGAAACATCATTTGTCTTACCAATATAAATCTTTTTACATCTTAATCATATAACATCGCATCTAGCAGCGGTATCTACTTTCTAAAGAGCACTCAAAAAACAGTTAAAGTACTTATTTTACCTCCTAGCTATTTGAGTCCAGCACTACAAAGTGCTTTCGTGAAAACACTTCAAAAGGACCCCAAATCTTTCCATCTCTGTAATAATTGATAATGTAAAGAGGTAAACCCCATAATACCAGAAACTTATTAAACCATTGTATAAACCTCAAAAGAAAAACCTCACTATGCTAAAATCGCAATTAAGCATCACCAATCTCTACTAAAAAAAGGAACGACAAATTTAATCTCATTTATTCCCCAAATAACCATAAATAAAACTAAAAACAAATACAAAAAAATTTGTATAATTTTATTAATATCCCAAAAAGAGACAATAACAAAAAAAACACCATCAAATTAAAGAACCTTTTTTGTTGTACCGCCCTACCCTTCTCCTCCCTTGAACTACTGGCTTTGTTCGCCTGATTAACAATTAAAAAAAAAATAAAAAAAATTATATAATTTCAGTCCCATATTACAACATCGAATTTTACAGAAAAGATTTGGTTTGGCGTATCCAAAGCTCTCAATTAATAACACATAACTATATACTAAAAAGAAAATTTAAAAAAAATGATCAACAAATTCAACTGAAAACTAATAAAAGAAATGACAGTACCTTGTCTTTTTTGGAACCAAAACCTCGAGATGGTTTCGAATCACAGCATTTCACACGAAATATGAGAAACCTACTTGCTGCTGTCGCAGAAATTACGGTCATGCTAGCGAAATTTTATTTTAAATTTAAAAATGAAAATTCAGTAAATTACTAAACATCCTGTTTCGCTGCAAAAATAAGAATTAATATCTGTGTTTTGGGTTCTGGTTTTGGTGAGTATTTATTTGAACGTTTGTAACGAGGGACAAGGTTGGCTTGTTTTCTGTCTTTTGTGGTGGGTTGTCAGGTCGGGTTCGCTCCGGATTTGGACCGTTTCTACATCTCAACGGTAAAATTTCTTGTTCACAAATTTAAATTTAAATTTAAACTTACACTGTAGCACATACCCGAGAAAAGGTANACAATTGACAATATAGCAATAAATCAAACAAATAAACCCACTCACCATTTAAAAAAGAATTAAGTAAAAAAGAACTACTCACGTGTAGGTAGAGGACCAGACTGTTTTGTTACCAATTTCCTGCACCATATGACATACAAAATTTGAATTATTAATGATTTTGCAATGACCAAATAAATTGTTATCCTAACTAGCAAATAACTGTAGATATCGTAAAATGCATAACTCTTCCACAGAAATACATTTTGTAAGCATGATACAAAGTAGAAGAGACTTCAAAAAGGAGCTTCTGGTACAAAAGAGGGCACAAGTCTCTCTGCAATTTTAGAAATTCATGGGCATAATCAGGAGACAAGAACACAGGAGCACATCAAAGCTTGCATGCACACACAGACAAACCCACCCACGAACTCTGAGCACATATAAAGACTAAAAGAATTCCTCAATTAGTTGAACTTATATTTTGCTTTTGCTTCGTTATGTAACTACTTGATGCACATCCAGTGGTCTCCTATCTTATCTATGAAGATAGAAACATCATTTGTCTAAACAATATAAATCTTTTTACATCTTCATCATATAACATCGCATCTAGCAGCGGTATCTACTCTCTAGAGAGCACTCAAAAAACAGTTAAAAGTACTTATTTTACCTCCTAGTTATTTGAGTCCAGGACTACAAAGTGCTTTCGTGAAAACAATCTTTCCATCTCTATAATAATTGATAATGTAAAGAGGTAAACCCCATAATACCAGAAACTAATTAAACCACTGTATAAACCTCAAAAGAAAAACCTCACTGTGCTAAAATCGCAATTAAGCATCACCAATCTCTACTAAAAAAAGGAACCACAAATTTAATCTCATTTATTCCCCAAATAACCATAAATAAAACTAAAAACAAATACAAAAAAAATTGTATAATTTTATTAATATCCCAAAAAAGACAATAACCTTTTTTGTTGTACCGCCCCACCCTTCTCCTCCCTTGAACTACTGGCTTTGTTCGCCTGATTAACAATAAAAAAAATTATATAATTTCAGTCCCATATTACAACATCGAATTTTACAGAAAAGATTTGGTTTGGTGTATCCAAAGCTCTCAATTAATAACACATAACTATATACTAAAAAGAAAATTTAAAAAAAAAAAAAAATCAATGATCAGCAAATTCAACTGAAAACAAATAAAAGAAATGACAGACCTTGTCTTTTTTGGAACCAAAACCTCGAGATGGTTTCGAATCACAGCATTTCACACGAAATGTGAGAAACCCAGTTGCTGCTGTCGCAGAAATTACGGTCATGCTGGCGAAATTTTATTTTAAATTCAAAAATAAAAATTCAGTAAATTACTAAACATCCTGTTTCGCCGCAAAAATAAGAAATAATATCTGTGTTTTGGGTATAAGGAGGGATAAGGTTGGCTTGTTTTCTGTGTCTTTTGTGGTGAGTTGTCGGGTCGGGTTAGCTCCGGATTTGGACCGTTTCCACATCTCAACGGTTAAATTTCTTGTTTACAAATTTAAATTTAAACTTGCCCTGTTACACATTACCCGAGGAAAGAAGATGAGAGTCTGATATACGGTTTTGAAACTTAACCGGTTGATGATACCCATTTCATTTTGGCAAGGGAAACATGATTAAACTTTTGATTATATTAATAAATATTCTAAATTAATGAAGAAAATTTATAAAATATAACAATCATATTTTAAATTAACGAAGAAAATTTATAAAATATAACAATCATATTCTAAATTAACGAAGAAAATTAATCAAATATACCAGAGAGAATTGGTATATGGAAAAACTGCTTCCCAGTTATACCACAATCCGTTTGAGTCACCCACATCCTTTACTGGAAATGTGGAGTAACTGAGTTTCATGATTCCATTTTCTCTCATATTATACAACATAAAGTTACCTTGACCTTTCAGTACCATTAATGGTTCATATTTCTCCCCAACTTTTTCATGCACAATTTGTAATACATTAAAACGCTGAAGAATTAGACTCTGAAGATCAACATGGTACTTCAATGTCCAGCTTGAATAATCCATCTTCATCTCCATCACATCAAACGTGCTACTACAGGGTCCATAGTTCTCAATTAGATATAAATTTCCCCTCGATTCCCCAAAATATCCGATTCTTCTTTCCGTCCATCCATCCTTTATTGCAGGCATTGGTATCCAGTGCATTAGCTCGTTTTCAACGTCGAATCGCAAGGACTTTTCTCCTCTTCCAACCCAGTGAATCGCGCCATTTGAGTAGATTCCACGCTCGAATAGAATATCATCTTTAATAATGCAAGGATTCCCTGAATCTCTCCATGACCTTGTTCTCGAATGGTATATCTTTACCTCGCAGTACTTGAAGTTGGGCAATGTTTTGGAATCACAGATGCATACAACTTGGTAATAAGGTGATCTTTTAAGATTGCAGACTATGTTAATGGCGACAACTTTCTCACATGGCGGTTTCGGCAAGGAGAAATATTGCTTTGTAGTCGGTTGGCAGATGTAGTACTTTCGCTCTTCTTCGTTGCTACAACGAAAGCTCGAGCAAAGTAGGAGACCGTTGCAGGAATCTCGAATGCAAACGCCATTATTATCTTCAATGAAAGAAAGGGAAGGCTTAGGCGCGGCATCATGGTTTCCTTCATAGGGAAAGAACTCAAGTTCCGAATAAAGTTTAAGTAACAAGAACTTTTGCAGATAGAATCCTGAAACATAGTGTTGGGGATTTCGTCGCGAGTAAGTGGCGATGAACACAGGATCGGAGATGAGATTGTGCCACCATTTGCATACAAGTTTGCATTGGATTAACGTCTTTAAGGGTAATCGAATCAGTATACTGCTAATCGCGTCGTTGTCATTCAAGAGCTTTGGTTCACTTTCTGTGTCAAAACTCATGGTGTATATTGCATCAAATTCTTCTGCAATAAGATAATCAAAATCATCAGTATAAATTAAAACAATTTTCAAGCACAAATTGTACATCAACAAGCAACTATGAACAAAAAATACCTGTTTTTAATTGTATCAAAATGAGATTTACGTTGATGACCCAAAAGGTACACTTTTTCCTGAAAATATGCTATTTAAAGAACTATGTGCTGCAATTTCTTGAGGCCCTATACTCAAAGAAACTTCTTGGAAATTTGATAGAATAAGCTTTAATTGAAAATTTTCATGTACAATAATGAAGTCGTCTTTGGGTCAATGATAAACTTCCATTCTTTTACATGGTTTCTCACTGAGAAATTTCAAAAGCCAGCCACAGAAGACTTAAATAAGTGAGAAAGACTTAATCAGCCCTAAGGTTTTTTTTTTTGCTTAATTTAAGGTTCTAACTTTTTAAATACTAGGAATTACCCCCTCAAACTATGGATCACTAATCAAATCTTAACTTTGAAACAACATTTTTTTAGGCAGAGAAAGGTAAATTAAGAGTGAATTACCCCTTTTTTTGGTCATGTGTAGAGTGAATTAAACATTCAAGCCTTATATAGGTTATGGTCTATCAGAATCAGGGGGATTTATAATAGTAATTTAAACTGCAGGATATGGAATATACTAACCCAAACCTTTTGGGGGTAATGTAACTATCTCAAACTTAAAAAATATAAGGTTTTAACTTTTATATATGGGTTATCTTTATTGAATTTGCTCAACATTGTAGGCCACGTTGGGTTGGGTTATTGCCAAGAAAAGAAGTGGAAAATTAAAGCAACTTTTGACTGGACTACAGTTGGAATTAAGTGACCTCGTAAACTTTTCCTTGAAGTTCAAGAAAAAATAATATGCTTCATGTGGACTTTTGTGGGAACAAACATCAGCAAGACCAATCGAAAGGGCATCGTTTTTGGCCCTTTCTAACAAGTTGCAATGAAAGTTTGTCTTAGATTCTTAAGTTATATATGCTTAATCAATAGATATTGCAATACGAAAACGCACTATAAAGAAGTTTTTTTTAGTAAAATATGCAATGCAAAGCAATGGTTAATTTGTTACCCAAAGGATTATATAAATTAAATATTAAATTAACAGAAGATCGACATCGGCATGAAAGCAAGAGTAGCCTAGTGGGAGACAGGGATGGACCCAGGCCTCTTGAGGGTAGGCCCAGGCCTGCCCTCAACTTTTAAAAGAAATTTGAAAAGTCTTTTTAAAAGGTAAAAAAAAAAAGTTAAAAGTTAAAAAATTAAAAAATTAAAAAGTGGTTTTGTCTTTTTTATATTCAAGTTTTTCTTCCCCCAATTCCTAACACCCCTTTTACATGCGGATCTGGATTTAGAGTGATCTGATCCATATTTTTGTAAACCTTTGTGTATTTTATTTTTGTTAAAGTTGTGATTGAGCTCTAAATTTATGTAGAATATTTTTGGTGGATTTGTGGTTATTATAAATTATAATCATATTTTTCCCTATGATTTGCATTGAATTTCTATAGGATTTAGGATACTTCTCATACAATTTGGGCCTAATTGCTATCTAATTCTATTAATTTGTCTTTGCATGTCTAAACGATGATTTTGATCATAAATAACAGTTTTGAGTGTAAATTATGTAACTTGAGCTTGGAAACTCAGAATGATCTGATTTTAGAAGCTTTGGAAAGCTAAGAAGCAGAGCTACAACTTTCATGTTTTGGGTTTTTCATAATTCTGATTAGACAAGGGTGAAAACTTGGCTTGAAGTCGTAAACAGTGTGTTGGAAACTGAAGAAAAACGTCTTTGGACATGCTTTAGTATTTCTACCATAACTTGATCTGTAGACCTCAGATTATGCTGATTCTTAAACGAGTAGAAAGATAATTTAAAGGGCTACAATTAATATATTTAACACTTTTCCATTTTCAGACTCTTTCATGCTCAAATTTGGCCCAAAAGATTCTCACTGTGGTAAGGAAAAAGATGTGAAAAATAAAACGACGTATTTTGGCTTGCTAGGGCTTGGTCCTTCAGTGAAAGAGGTATAAATTAGCACAAAAATGAAAGAAAAGGGGTCTTGGTTTGTCATTCAGAAGGCAACTCTTGGAAGGAGAAGATTATTGAAGATTTGGACTTCAAATTAGAGAAGATTTCTCCATCTTTTGCTTGTTTTTTAATGATGAATCTTGATTCAGTTTGTTTTTGTTATTTTATTTTGTGTTTGAGAATGAACTGAGTTGTTTAGCTAGGGTTTGATGTAACCTTGATATAATTATTCAAATTTATATGAATTGATTTACTTTGAGTTTTAATTTCATGATTGAATGTTTATCTCTTTGTTTAATGACTTTTGGATATTTGATCACCATTCAAATGTGTGTTTTCACAATGAGACTGAGAAGTGATTTGTAATTGTGCCTCTTGGGATAAATACCGTAGATTAAGCAAACGCTAGAGATAGGTTTAGCGATTTATGAAATCTAGATAGAATTTCATAAAGTTTAAAAGACTTTGAACTATTAATCTTCATTTTGTTGGGTGCGGAAGCTTAATAGAGATAAGTAGGAAAATATAGTCTGATAAGGTATGTTTTACAACTTAGGGAATTCTATTTTCAATCAAGGAATTAGAACTTGGATAATAGATTCTATGATTTGGGTTAGAGTATCTATGTGAAATCAACAACCTAGCATTTTGTTTAATTAGTTAAGTGGTTGGATTTTGCTTTAATTTCATTATCATTCATTTATATTTTCTTAAATTGTATTTAGTTCGTTAATTTTCCATCAATCCAATTTATTGTTGCTTCAATTAGGACTTAAACTAGAGAAATCGATACTTAGTAACACTATCCTCATGGGAACGATACTCTACTTATCACTTTATTACTTTTTACGACTAGTACACTTCCTACATTTGCATGTTTGTCAAAAATACGCATCAATAAACTCTTTTGATTATATTGGATTTAAGTGGATCGTTAGATTCCTGTGGTTTTTTTATCTCTTCACATTGAAGAGGTTTTTCCACGTAACAATTTTCTTGTGTTTCCTTGTGAATTGGATTTTATTTTCTTATGTTTTCACTAGTTGATTGACAAACAATGGCGGAGCGAGGTGGCCCCCCTGGGCAAAAATCCTGGGTCCGCCACTGGTGGGAGAAGCGATGACCATTAGGCGAATTAGAATTAGGCCAGTCGAGTAGCTAAGGCTGAATTTTGTATGAATGCCAACGCCTAGATCATCCCACCACAGCTACTTTGACATCGTGAACTCCAAAGCTCTAGGAGAAGGGTTGGAATAAAAATCGTTGCACTGGTTTGAGTTGTACATACAAACACAACCAAATTTGATACAAATACAAACACTACATTTGAACTTTCATTGATCTTAGAATGCTAATAATTAATAATATAAGTTTCGTAATTTCCTTATTTAATAATTAAAGGGTCAATTCCATTTTCTGTGAATGGACTATACAATAGATCATAATACCTAGACCCTTTTTACAGACGTAATTTTCAAAGTCATTCACAACAAAGTGGATGAAAGAGGTATGAAAAGATGATTGATAAAGTTTTATTGGCCACAAAAAAAAAAAAA